GATGGAGCACGTTGGGAAACAATTTCTATGTACTCTTATGTAATATTGATATTTTAGAACAAAAACGATGCTATGACCCGTAACTGTGTAGGAGAAAGAAAACAAAAACTTTCAGAAAAAAAGTGCAAAAAACAATTAAGCGAAAGTAGAATTGCCAATATAATTTTAAAAAAATATATAATTTTAATTTAAATATTAGTTAATGTAATTTTGTAACATGAGCGTTTTCGAACTAACTTTAATCTTACAATTATAGGTAACGTATAATTCCAAAAAAAATATTTTTATTTATTTACTTTTTTTTAAATATTTTTTTTAAATATTTTTTTCTGATTTCGCTCAAATGATACACTTGCAGTGGTAAACTCACAAGCATAAACGATCTCGTTGAAAATGAGCTTCGCTTAGCGAGGCAGATATAATACGTAGGTGTCAGCACATATTACGCCCTCCATTGTGCACTACATAATGTTCACACCCAAAAATGTAAGCGAAATATATTTCGTCATGCGAAGAGACATATGTTCATAGAAAGCAACATATAAAGAAAAAAATTTAATTAATTAAAGTAACAAGAATTCTGTTATATGGACACTTTAAATTTCTCTTCTTTTTGGTTTTTCGTTGGACGCCATATTTTTTAACGCGTTGAGCCTAGTTGCGTTTACAAAAAAAATAAAATGAATGGAATAAATTAGCATAATGCGGATATATATATATATATATTACGACATACATATCAAATCACATATATATACATATCAAATGTATATTGATTGTGGAATAGGTTTAACGTTGGTTCCTGCCTGAAAGATTTAACCCCACGGTGGCCCAAGCCACTTTAAGCATAATATAAGCCCTCTGACAATCCCCACAGAGTAGGGGCCTAAGCAGCACCAGAGTCCAGAACGGTTTATTGCGTATGCTTTATTAACCCCACTCTGGTCAGTGGTGAAGCCTAGCTGCACTCGATTGTTCCACTTTGGCTTGGAACTGCCAACCATAACCACCACGAGTATTCCCCGAAGGGCCGCACCCAAGCAGTCAGGGTTCACAAATTGATTAACTATATGAGTTCAAATAGGGAAAAAATGCGCTTGCTTCCACCATAGGGTTTCCACAAGCGCCGTTAATCAATTAAACACCATTGCCGCTAGGCATCCGTGAATATAATTCAAAGTGTATAATTTAAAATGTAAAAATATAGGCAAAAAGGGTAAAAAAGCCTGCCGTCAAATCCCTTTTCTTTCATTTATACATCTAATTAACTCATATTGTTTTAAGGATATAACACTCTAATATGCACCCCTTAGAGGTAGATATTCAAAGAACCAAAACATCTTTAATTTTATATTATATATTATCGAGAATCGATCGGCCCTTTATCGAGTAAATCCTTCAATGCATCTTATATTTCATAAGATGTCTTACATACATATATGAGATAATTTTAAATTTTTTACAACTTTCAATTTTAATCCCATCATTTACCCGTAGGCATACATGGCTTAGTGAGCGTGGCTCCCAGTTTATGCTACAAAGCCTTTGGCATACTTTGCCTGGCTGAACTCTCAGACCACTCTTGCCTTCGGATTGGCCATACCATCCGGGTTAGCCATCCCCAGAACTACTTTTCATCGAGATATATAAGTCTCGGATATTGCACTGACATAGAAGAAGCGATCTACCATGCACTCTACCTTTTACGTACTTAAACCCATTCAGAAAATTCCTAGGTAGTAACTAGCTAATGAGTGAAGAGTTCATCTTCCAGCCAACCCCTCCACCATCTCTCAGAAACTCGTCGCCGAGTTAGTAGCCCAAAACCTTAAACCCTTCTTAGCCGGCCGAAGCCGTTGCCCGTGGTTCACCACTTGGAAGTGAGGGTTTCGGCCATCTAATAAAGCATAGTTTATCTCCCCATCAAATGTTCTATAGAACAAATTACCATGAAATCAAAGTCACTGTCGCTATTTTTTTTTTTTTATTTTGCTTACTGGCACATGAATTTTAGCTAAAGAAAATTAACAGTCGAATTCAAGTACTTCTTAGGAGTAAATCGTATACTAATTATTTTAAAAACTAGTATAAAATATAAAGGAAGATAAAAAAAGAGGAATAATAAAAACTTAAAAATAATAATTCATATACAAATAAATAAAAGGAAAAAAAAGAATAAAAAAGAAAAAAAAAATAAGCTAGCATAGAAGCACACCCGCAACAAGAAGAGATCCAGGTTATAAATAAACTCCTAAATTATTGAAAACATGCGTAAGCTTCGCAACTAACACGTTAAAAAAATAACATTATTTTAAATAAAAAATGAGATATTAAGAATGAAATGTTAGACTTCATTTAGGTTTCTGTAAACAACTCTGAGCGGGTAAAACAGCTCATAATTGTATTTACATTTTCTAAGCTCTATCAAGATAAAGTGCCTAGAAAAGCGGTTAGGGGCATTAAAGCTTATCTCACCAAATAATGCGGGCGAGTTAATAGTACCATTTTTTACTTTGATTACGAAGGAAATGCGAAGAACAAATCTACGGTTCTGAAGTGACGGTAAGGATAATGGAGCAACCTACTTTAACAGGGTGGAAGGGAGGCAATCGGGCCCCAACGCAAATTCCTAAGGGCAAACAGCAAGAATTGCTTTTGAACAGATTTAATTGAATCTACATAGCACTACAATACAGGCATACTTGAGTATAGGTCTAACCAAACATATGTATAGTCTTTTCGTAATGTAACGATCATCTAAAGAGACCATCTCTCTATAAAACCAAGCGCGGACATAGCTTTGCTTAACGAGAGCTCAGTGTGCAAGTTAAAACGAAACCTATTGTAAAATATAAGGCCTAAATCTGTGAACCAATCGACGTCCTCCAACTTGTGCGAATCAATGAAATACTGAGTAATGAATGACTTTCTTCTTGAGAAGGAAAGCTTCTAATATTTGTTTAGATTTAGTTTCAGAAGATTCCAAGAGTACCAAGCAACTAAATTATTCAAGTCACTTTGAAGCTGATGTGATTGCGCTTCTACGGAAAAGGAAGAAACCAGTTTCTCATCATCAGCGTACATTAAGATCTTGTTGGATTGAGTCACCGAGGACAAATCATTAATGTATAAATTAAATAAAATGGATCCTAAGTGGCTGCCTTGAGGTAGGCCAGACGTCACGGAAAATACACTTCATTAAAGTTAAACAAAATCCTGAATGATCTGTTGCCTAGATAAGAGCTTATCCATTTCATTAAATAGAAAGGGAAGCCTGAGACTTCGAGTTTAAGGATAAGTAGTAATATCTCCCTTCGTACAATCGGTTGGTCTTGTGACCAACGTATTCTTTTCGAAGGATCAAGGACTGCATTTACAACACCACCATTGATACCTGCACATTTCGCATGACAAAAGCGTGTGCAAAAAACATATATGTCAAAAAGTAACACACAAGGTAGATAGTAATAGAAAACTAAATGTTTATCACGTACACAGAAATGATATCTCGAATTAGACGCAAACTTCACACGATCCAGTACACAAAGAGCAAGCGGAGATAAAAACAAAAAAGGACGACAAGTCTTTATTTCAAAAACCAAAATGAATGTAAGGGCAAACAGTTCAATATAATTCAATTTATTTAAACATTTTTATACTTTAATCAGACATTAAAAGTGTATAAAGCAGGAAAAAAAAGAAATAGCGAAATTTCTTTATACAAAGTAAAGCAGTACGACCAGAGCGCGCGCGCACAGCTGGCGAACTGATGAATTTTTTTGCCGAACCTCTTTTTTTCGGAAAATTGAGTTGGTTTGTACTTGTTTGCAAGTATAAAATTACGTTTGATCCATGTTCTCGGTGTGAGATGAAATGAGTTATATCGTCAGTCGGAGTGAACCGAGAGGTGCTGATACTGTGCAAAAGAAAAACAAAAAAAAGGTTGATTTCCAACGAATTTAGAATTTACTTGCATAAGCATTTTGGTCAGGCTTTTCATTGTGTCTTCAATTTCTCGTTCTGCCAGGTACTTTAACATATTGAAAATTCAATTACTGAAATATCAAAATTCGAAATACGGTTTTTTATTAATATAAAATAATCGTTTTTAATCGAAAAAATAAATGAAGAAATGTATTCCGTGTAAAGGGAAGGCGCTAAACCAAACACCTGTGCCGATTCCTTTGTTCCATTTAAAATAGCTCTCTAAATATCAACTTCATATATCTTCCTTCTTTAGACGGCAAAAGTAGACATTGAACTCTTCACAAAACGCATTTGAAACCAGTTTGTCAGTGTAAAGACAAAGCGCCATTAAAAACAAATAAGAATATCGTTTTCGGGCAAGATCAATCATTAAACACCCTACCTTGCTTTGCTTATATAGTAAGCAAAGTTGTTCATTTATTTTTGTGATAACAAATTAAAAATTGCACATTGTTTTTTGTAAAGGCATGCTTTTCGTGAAAGCCCTCATTGGAATTTTGAAATGAATGAAATTTTGAAATATTTTGCATAATGAAAAAAGTTTCGTATTACTTTTTTTTTCCTTGACCCAAAACACATCGATGCATAAAATTTTATAAAAATGTGTCAAAAATTACCATCTGTAGGTTAAACACAGCCAGACGTCCCTAGATCGATTGAGTAAAACATTTTGAATCGATCGCTATAATCTGAGGTGATTTTGTCGTAAGTCCTCCCGTGTGTGACATCCGCACGAACCTAGTATACTATATATATATATATACTATATATCTGGGTATTACCCACAAGACATAGAGAAACAGAAACGATTTTATTTTGTGAATTCGTACAACATTCTGCACTACAACATTCTAAATTATGTATTATAATAATAATGACTGACAACAATGACAACACTAATTCCTCTGTTAAATTATATTACCAAAAATTCTTTCATGTGTGTAGAATGCAAGGAGAGAATGTGAACATTTACTTCTTACGTCAAATCCAGGCAACAAGGGGAGATCACAATCATATTGACACGGGACTGCATTAATAAATATATTCAAAAGGAAAAAAATATATAACATACAAACAAATTTAGTTTTAACGATCTTTATAACTTTAAGAAAACCAGGGACATAACTAACTTCTTGCCATTGTAACGATATTATGAACTGAATTTTTTTTGTGCAACGTGTTTGCATTTTCACTTATACATAATACATAAGATGAAACTCAAATTTAAAAAACGAATGAACCGATCATCCCTATTTAAATATAGAGTAGATAACTAACGAAATCGACATGGTAAACACTTCTCATGTCATTAATATTATACTGAAGCAGAGATTAGCGATTATCTGTGGTTGTAATATGAAATGCATAAAGACAAATTAACCAATCAGTTAGCCCAGCTCGTCTCGTGTTGTTTTTATATAGCGCTTAGACAATTCATATAAATATCACAGCCTATACAATGTTTAAACTTAATTCAGTACTCACTTTGGCTTTCAACGTTTCGTTGGAATTAGTATTCAGTTAATGCCGAATAAAGGCACGCACAAATTATATAATTTTGATATATTATATTATAAAGCGAGTTCGTATTGCTTCATAGTAGAAAGTAATTTAAAGAAAAATTTAAAAAAAATATTTTTTATTTCGTTTCGTTTTCATTTCTTTTACCTTATCGAGAAAAGTAACTAATTGCGGAAAAATTATCGTGCGATGAAATCTTTCGTGGCTAAGTTAGGTTTGCTTGTGTTTTGTGCATGCATTATTAATGGAGAAAAGGATAATCCGGCAACCGAAACTGAAATAAAAATTTACAAACGCCTCATACCGGCTGATGTGCTCAGAGGTAAATGATGCCAGAAGATCACAGAAATTATGTTGTCAGATTCAGTAAAATTAAATTTTCATTTGAATAGAAAATAAATAAATAGGAGAATAAAAGTTTTATCAATTAATGAAGGATACTTTTTGTGATTAATTACAGCTTTTTCGGCATACCACTACCATGGAAGCTAAACCAATTTTGAAAATAATTTTGTATTTTTACAAAGTTTCAATTTAACAATTATTGATAATAATATTTAATTTTTTTTGAGTAATTTTCACCTTCTATATCTTAAGTGCGGTTAAAGCCACTCAATTTTAAGACCACATTTTCATTGCGATTAGTATTTCAACAAACTAACGACGGTGGAATAACCAAATTTCTGAAGACTTTGATTCGCAATAAGCGCAAATGAATTCTTCTTAGAAAGGGATAAAACATTTGCCTCTTTAGTTGCAAATTAGAAAAGATTGTTGTGCCGAGGGTCATCCATTTTGTGGTTACGGATGTAAACGTAAATAAAACACACTTCTGATTGAGATTTTTTTTTATAACATACAGTTCGCACGTTGCGATTTGTTGTGGACCATACAATACATGCATATTGTACAGAAATTCCTAAAACTTATTACGAAAACAATGAACTCACGATCATCAATTGTGAAATTGCTTTTATAATTTATAATAAACACTGAACTGTAAAAGATATCAACTAGAATTTTCTTTTCTTTTAGATATTTGTTCATGCGATCTTTGTTTAAAAAAACTAAATTTTTGAACACCAAAGTTTGCGACTTTTACGCGTAAATGTTGGCCTTATTTCACCAATAACACAAATAATCTGAATACCATGGGTAAGGTCGCAGAGCGTTCGGCTTATTGGGAAGTAAAAAGTTCAACAGAGTTATAACTATATCGTATGGTCTTTTGGAGATTACGTGATTATTGAACTTTTCTCCTAATAGATTGATTTTATCGCACTATGTGTAACATTTTGTTGAAGCCACATTTCGGCGAAGTCAAACGCATTTAATGTTTGCCACGAAAAAACAAATATAATATTTTACTAGTGTTCTGCACTGAGGATGATGCCATTCTCATGCATGGGTATGAAATTTTTACCCTATAAGCTAAACCCTGAAATTATTTTTGTACACGAAAAAAACTTTAAGGAACATTAGATGTGTTTTCTTTAGATCAACAATACAACAATCCTTATTTATGAAGTCATTTAATCAAATATGAACTTCATCCCACATGCATAGAACATGAGTTCATTGCTTCCGTAATAAATTTAACAATTTCTATACGTTGTTCAACTATATGTGTAGTGTATTTCATAAATAATGGTAAAGTGCGACAAAATATATTGACACAAAATTTAATCCAAATCTCAATTTGATTTGATTGGATTTGATTAAAATACGTTTGGTTGGTACATCTATTTTAGAATGAGCTGAAGCTCTTATCAAAATTCCAATTATCACTTGCTTGCAAGTTGATAAAGATAGAGTCCTAAACAATTCCCACGCCACTCTTTTCTTATTCATGTGTAATTTGTACATATTGAACGTTATACGTTAATACGTTCGTAAGGTTAAAAAAATTATTCACCAATGGATTTGTGGCAAGGTACATACGAAACGAAGAATTTCGAAGAAATATGGCATTAGCTCTTGTTCATTAATACATCCAAAAATTAAAATTGTTTTTTAGTTGTATTAAGATTACATTGTTTTTTAAAGTAGATTGGACAAGTTAAACAAATTTGTACTATCAATGCAAAACTAGTTTTGCAACATATGGATGCCAGAGATGAAAATGTAAGCACCTCATTGGTCTGCAAAAATACTAGTTTTGTTTAATTAGCGTTTACAAAACCTCGTGTGTTAGCAAAATCGAAATTAGATTTCCGCATCATGGACATGGTGCATAACAAAAGGAATTAAAAAGAGTACATAATAAAGCAACATTTTATATCTACCACCGAAATAGGCATAAAGTGTGAACATTCTTAATCTTTATGGGTTATGCCGGTCTCTTCTTCTCCTCCTATATGCGCTTGCCTGTCGTGAATGGTTGGAGCACTCAATACTGCAGAAATTAGGAACAAAAGAATTTCGCTCTCTATATTTTTAAGTCAATTTTCAAAAGGGGTTTGAGCGATGATGGCTTAAACAAAGCTGTAATTCACAATATTACAATTATTGATCTACCAATGCTAACAAATTTTATTCATTTAAAGTGGTGGATATCAAAGATTCCTTGTATGTAATTGTAAATTGCTTACTTCCTTTTTTGTTCTGAACTTTATATGCGAATTTTTATTTATTTGCTAAACGTGTTGTAGTAAAATCAGTCAATTATTTCCTAAATTATAAGTCCAAAAAAGTTGACTGAACGTAACGCTAACATTAATAACAAGCGCAACAACCTCAAAGTGCAACATACTATGAAGTAACCTTGTTTTTCATTAGTAAACCACTTTCGCCACCAAAGTAAAATAAAGCAAAGTATATTAAAATAAAGCAGACAAAAATTCGGGGCGATGAGGTTTTTTTTTTTTCGCAATGCTGCAGCTGGTTTTGACTTCAAACCTCCTGATTACAAACGCGTAAAATAAGCATACAATGAGGTGATACCATTATGCAACTCCTCATTATTGTTCTGTACCTCATGAGTAAATTATTTTCAAACGAGACTGATAAAATCAGAGTTAACCAAGATAAGCAACACCTTAGATTTTATATCATACAAAATTATAAATTTGCAATACGGAGTACTTTGGTTTGACAATTTTTTCTTACTAGATTTTTTTGAAAGCAAGCAAAACGTGTATTACACCACCATACACACATTATTAACAATTATAGATTAATGATGAAATACGAACTGCAATGACTGAAAAGTGTTGCTAAGCCAAAATGCTACTCCTTATATATTCGATAATAAACGTTGTTTTAACTTACACAGAGAAATTCCTACAAATGCAGCTGGATCATTCTTTTTCTTAATTAGAAACTGGTCAAAGGGATTTCGAGATCTACACATTGCAAAAACAGTTTCTTAAGAAGTATATTTAAATATTCTTACCTTCTCCAGGCTATCGTTGCTGCGTGGGACAAATTGGTGTTAACCGGAACTTCTCTTGGGACCCACGTTGCATTAATATTTTATGAAAACAGATTGTTGCTCCCCCTTTTATTAAGAAATGCAGACTTATTTCAGGTATACGGTTTTTAATTAGTATATGCGTAACGCAGCAGCCTTGTTAAATGAAACTAACTTCAATCTTTCTACCCTTACCTCTAGCATCATAAAGCTTAGCCAATAAGGATATAATTGCGCATTCTTTAAGCCAATTATTCATTGTTTTTTTTTTATTTTTTTTAATTTTTTTTTATTTATTTTATTTATTTTTTTTTTGTAAATAATTTTAATGATATAATTTCATTAAACATATTTTCTGTGTGTGACTAAGCAATAACAACTAACAACGTATAGATATTTTAGCAATAGAGTTTTGTGAGAAAAGAAAGCGAATTAAAGAATAATTTTTCGTTAACAATGACACATGGACAATTGAAATTTGTGACAATGTCGACATAAGTACCACCAACCTTGACTCAATCAAACAAAGGTGTTGCACGAAACTAACTTACTCATATTGAAGAAATCAATTTTTTATGATAAGGAAGATAAAGGCGCAATAATTGGGCGTTAGAGAACTTCGTTACGTAATTCTCAGCAATTCTTAATTGAAAGTCCTTGGTTACACTTGAAACAATAACACAGAAACAAATGCATTATTTAAAGGCAGCCATGTGGCTGTTTTGAAGATTTAGATTTGTTTGAAATTATTGGCGCCATCTGATGTTCCATTTTTCTTGATAGGAGTGACACGAGCAAATTTTCAGACGGCCTAGAAATGCGAGTTCGTTGCAATTTAGTCTACAGCGTACAAAATGCGAGCATTAATAGAAGGCTAAATTAGTTATAAAAAGTTGAGTGAGAAACTATCTACTCCTGGCGGGTTAAATATAACTTCGTTGCCATTCAAACTTATTTGATTAGTAACGTTACCACATTAGTGGTAACGCTGATTTGAGACGCCAATATCTATTAGAGCCTTAAATTGAATCGTTAGATTTGCGTAGTCCTAACTCATGAAATGTGCGCTACAGTTGATTGTTGTTTAAGGCTTGAGAGTGGGCACTTGTTCTGCGTTTTCTAATTCGCTTTTTGAGTTTTTTCCTCATTAAACGCTAAACCCTCCAGCTAGCAGTATTCTTGTCACGTAAATACGCAGGGGTACATGATGTTTGATTCCACTGCAGCTGAGTCAATGATAACAGTTACAAATAATTCTGCGTTTTACCTTCTATATAAACACATGTATTTAATTCAAATTTTCATACAATGTAATAATCGACATCTTTTGTTTTACATATGCGATTAAAATCGCAGGAAGCAATTCTAGATTCTAGTAAACCAGTGTGCACCCTAAGTATTAGGTGACCCGGAAAACTGGTACAGGAAAAGTGGAGATGTTGAGTCGCGAGTTACACCGTGGTGATCAATCGTGGACAACGGCCATATTTATGCTGAAGCATATGGCAGAAGATTCGCATCAAAGCAAGATTAAATGTATTACAATTGAAGACACCTAGAGCAACAAGTTTCAAGTATTTGTTCTGATAAGTCTATCGTTACGACATTTTATTCCGAGAAATTAACAGAATTGGACGACGTATGATTTTTCCTAACGGACACTACATTTATATGGTTTCTGGTCTCATCGTACGCTGTCGTAAGAATTATTTGGCTGGGAACGAAATGTAGGGTGGGCATTTAAAAAAATACATAAGTTATTCCTAGTTATCGTTAGAGAGAGCAATAAAATAACCAAACGCAGGATGCGTATTACGAATAGTGTGTGAACTCCAAAACTTCAAGAGAAATAGAAAAATTTTAATTAGAAAAACAAACCCAAGGCGTACTTAAATAATAGCTATAATAATTGACCTTACTGAGTTTCTTGAGATATAAATGTTTTCAGAATGGAAATAGAGGGGTGGTGGAGTCTCTGGCATAACCTTTCATATACGCATACCACGAATAGATGAAACTAACGTTGATTACCTTTTTCGTTTGGCTGCATAACAGCCATAGGTTTGATTGTGTCAGCGATAGATTGTAGCGTGTAGGCATTTTTAATGCAATTACAATTGCGCAATCCACTCACAAGAACATCCGTCTGGAATGAAAGACTTGTGCTAACAAGTAGGATATTTATATTCGAACCTCAGCAGTGCCCACTGAAAGTTGTTCATTTGGTTCCAGTAGTCCCATTCACAGTTGGTTACTGTCCTAAAGGTTACGTTGTTTATTAGACTACCGTCATTCCATATGGAATGTTTTTATCAACATTTTTAGCTCACTCCGAACAGCTTTTTTTTCTCAGCAGTATCGAAAATAATAAATTAAGAATGTTGAAGTAAGTTTAATATATTATTCACAAGCTCTTAGGATATTTATAGACAATATATGTAGACAATACAATTCTGCGATGTATTGGTTTTAGCGCCGCGTAAGCGTTATTATTGATGAATTTTTGATAGGCAAAACACACCAATACTCTGTTTATTTCGCTATATTTTTACATTTTCAATATAGGTTAGCACAAAATTACCTCCTATTGTATAGGTATGTAATGTAATTACGGCTTTGTTTTCTTTTTATTAACGTGTATAGTATTTTTACTGCAACGTTGTGTTTGTTTTTAGTTAAGCATGATTGCAGAAAATTAATATTTTATAACTTTCAGTGAAAAAGATGGTTTTTGGTTAATATGTAATTTACAAACTTGCTTATATAAATAAAACTGCAAATTAAAAATTTAAAAAATAAAAATTTATAAAAGAAAGTTTTTAGTATATGATATTTTGTCTGCATTTTTTAAACTCTTTTATGTTTGGTATCTACTAGAAAATTTTCATTGTTTTTATTAATTTTTTTTTTTTTTGTTTGTGACTGTTTGAGATTAAATTGTGTATTACATAAAATTTCACCCAATTTTTGCATGCGTTATGCATCGTTGTTTTATAGCAACGACTGATATTGTGATCATATTACATAATTACTTTTATTCTATTAAACAATGATAGCAATACCAACAAATCTGTAATCTTTTAAAATATAATTATTATTATTTGCCCCATAATTAGCTAAACTAAAGTTTTAAACCAAAAACTAGTAACTACCGAAAGAAAAATTCTCCTCAGGGAGAATTCATCGCCTAAAGATTAATTTAATCCGTAACTGTTCGCAAAACGCCTCATTTACGCATTCTGTTAGGACAAACAAAATCAGTTCCTCCGGACAGTCCATTTCGTTTCCTAAGAACGAAGACAAAAAATATTGCGAACAAAAAATTTTAAACTATCTTGAGTAGGTCCTTCAACAGAAGTCTAACAAGAAAAAAAATTAAGTTTTCATTATATAAGTTTTCTCAGCTGAGGGTTTATTTGTAGTTACTGCTTCTTAGTTTGCGATCTTTTAGAGCGTTCACAATAGCTGTGGCTGCCATTAAATTAGCTATTTGACCAAACATTGCTTTAATTTTATAAAAATTTTCTCCATCGGTTACATTAAAACTTATATATTTGTATGGTCTTTGCGAATTATTTTATCTGAGATAAAGATCAACAGTTATTTTTTCAATTTGACACCCAGAAATTTAAGCACACATTTTTTTTCTCTTTTCTGCTTTTTGCCGACATGAATGACACCTGCGGAAACAAATGGTAAATCTGAAAATTTAGCCGGCAGAGTAGAAATATCTTCCAGACATAAAAACTTCGGATGAATAAGAAACGGAAAAGGAGCCATTTTAGAATTCTAACTATTCGGCTGAAAAGAATAAAAAGGTGTTCCAACATAAAAGAGAACTAAGCCAGTGGATTTTTAGTGTTAAACCTATCTTTAATATGTATTAATTTGGAATAATAATTTTCTTTAAACTTGCTGTTTACAGTTCAAGAGACTAATAGATCGAAAATTATTAACATCGCTCGGTGATTTACCTGGCTTTGAAAATTCGAATTCCTTCGTTAGGAACATGTCTTCAATAAAATTTATATTTCGACGCTTTCTTCATCATTTATGCAATACTCTTAAGGGAAATGAACTGCAGCGGAGTCACGTCGTCTTACTGAAGAACTAACTACATCCTTCCAATAGAAGAGTTTAAGGTAGAAGCGGCCTTATAATTTTTTTGAGCTCTTTTTGCGAGGCCTCGTGGATAAAATTGCAAAATTACGTTACACTTTTATGCAGAATATTGCTTATTTTTCAAAATAATTCGCTTCCTTCATCTAAAGCATTTACAGTACGATCTCATAATGGGTTTCTGAACTTAAAGATTTCATTCTGATTAAGGATGCGTAATTAAGAATGCTTATTTATATGTTGCCGATAACGCCTTCACTGTTTTCTATAAAAATGTCCGAATTTCGTCAAATTCAATATGCACATGGGAAATCCAAGAAAGCTAATTTTAGAATCAACCGCTCGATTCGGCTTATAAGAATAACTAGTTGGTTATCTGTGGTGGGGATACTTGTTGAAGGTTAAGTTTCTATACAAGTTCTGAAAGATTTGCTGTTTGGCAATTCGTTTGAATAAAAAAAAAATTATGGATAGACATTTGAAAGAGCTTTTTGGTTATTTATCGCTATTCAAATTATTTGTTTTTTTCCTGACTGAAATCTATTATATGAGATGTGCTGCGGGCGAATTTGAAAATCAAAGCACATTACATACAATATGCATTTCTGGAAAAGTTTGTATCAATGTTTTTTTTTTGCAGTCTTTGAAGTTTTGCTCACGAAGATAATAAACTTATTGGCACGTGAGGTAGAAAGTATTTATAGTAAGCTATAATTATTTCAGTCTGCCGTCCATCGTCTGGCAATAACAGAACTGTAACATGATGAGTTTTGACGTTTGCCACTTAGTCTCTGAGGTTTACTAAAAGAATTCATTATGCACTTTATTATTTATTTCTATCATAATTTGAATTTAATGGCGAAAGCTAAAATTTTGAATTTTGGAAAACAATGGTCGGCTTATACGCACTGTGTTGACAAAAAGCAATCAAACGATACAAGGTTACGTTTACATTAAAATCCGATGAATGTTTTCACTACACACAAGTAACATATTATTAGACTGGCATAATTAATTAATGCTGGCGAATATGCTGATTGGTCACGGCTGAAATAAAGAAGAAATAGTGGATATCGACAGACTGCGTTGTACGACCGACC